GTAAGAGGCACAACTAAAACTTAACTGAATGCCTAACCATAACCCTACTTCATAAACCTATCCCTTACCCTAACCCCATACCTAATTCACACCTCTGTAACCCGACTCCTAACCCTTTTCCTAATCTATCCGCCTTCTGCAATGGTTGTTAGAAATTTTACACCACAGCCCACGTAAGAGTAAGAGGCACAACCAAAACTGAACAGACCACCTAAACATAACTCTACTTCATAAACCTATCCCTTACCCATACCTAATTTCTACATCTCTAACCCACCCTCTAACCCTTGCCCTATTTATGTCCGAATAAACAATGGTCGTTGGAAATTTTACACCCAAGCCTACGTTACCCCCCACAATTGCAGCACAGTGCCCCTATGGGCAGGACCACTCCCGCCTGCAGGGAAATTGCTGTGCCCCCCCCCCACGCCCGGCCTACAGGTGGGCCCCTCGGCTACCCACGGCTGCCAGCACAAAGCCCTCTACGGGGGAGGAGCCCCTCGCTAACCACGGCGGGCAGCACAGCGCCCTACGAGAGGGCCTCGGTACCCACGGCTCCCAGCACAGCGCGCCAACAGGGAAAGACCCCATCGGCTACTCTACGGCTGCAGCACAGCGCATTACCAGCGCGGAACCCCCTCGGTCTACCCACGCCTGCAGTGCACCGCCCCCTACGAGGAGGGAGGACCCCTCGGCTACCCACGACTGCAGTGCAGCGCCCCCTACGAGGAGGGAGGACCCCTCGGCTACCCACGGCTGCAGCACAGCGCCCCCTACGAGAGGAGGACCCCTCGGCTACCCACGGCTGCAGCGCAGCGCCCCCTACGAGGAGGGAGGACCCCTCGGCTACCCACGGCTGCAGCACAGCGCCCCCTACGAGGAGGGAGGACCTCTCGGCTACCCACGGCTGCATTGCAGCGCCCCCCTACGGGCAGGGCAACCGGTTGGGCGTGGCCAGCGTCTGTCTCGCTCTCGCACGCGCGTCTCACGCACCTAGAAACAGCAGGAAGAGCACGGCCACAAACACGTTGAAGTAGATGTGCGAGTGTCGCTCCAGGCTGCGCGTCATGCGCGAGTGCAGGATGCGGCGCCACCTGCAACGACAGAAGAAACACGCGGCGGCGACGGCGGTCAGCTACGGCGGCAAGGGGGACGAGCGTCCGCGATCGAACCGACTCAACTCACCCAGCATCATGATGAATTGGAAGACGCAGACCGACCAGTAATAGATGTACGCGTGCGACTCCACATAACTGAGCAGCCGCGACTTGAAGATTTTGCGCCACCTTGAGAACAGCGAGGAAAAGTCGTGACGCGCGGTCGTCGCGGCGACGGCGCAGCACCGTTGGTAACCGCCTCGCAACGACGCCAACAAGGTATAGTTGCAGTGTAATGCGAGTTGGCATGGAGACATGGAGATAATGTGGGGCGATTGTGTAGGCATGTGTCGATCTGTGCTCAGGCGGTATACAATAGACCGAGCTTACCTTTGATTTTGCATTCTGAATAAAGTTTTGTTTTTGTTTTTTGTTTTTTTGTTTTTTTATTTATTTAGGCAATTATCCATCATATACAATACATAGCATACTTTTACAATAAAATTCTGAATTCATAAAATTGGATAACTACCAAGGATATAATTATACACAAAAAGCATGACTAGCACACTTATTTACATTGTGGTCCTTGTTTTGCTATGCCTTGAATCTAACAATTACACTACTATCAGCACTAACTATTGAAATATACAAATTTTTGGTAATGATTACTTGTACCATCTTGATTAAAATTACTACATTGTTACTTTTTCATTATCATAAACAATTAGGATACTGTGTGGCCACATAAGCTGCGTTCACACGAGGATTTCAGTTCCGTACTTGAGCGTTCACACGCTAAAATATACGCGGCTTATTCAGTACCGTACTTAAATACGAGGCTTACTTAGCGCGGAATCACATTCCGCGCCAAGTAAGCCGCGTATATTCGGCACCACGCTGGCCGCGTATTGTCTGTCGTGTGAACGCATTCGA